AAAACTGCAACATGAGCAGAGAGGGGACTGGTGTGGCCACCAGTCAGGATAGGAAAACTCCTCCACAGTACATGTATTGAAAATATAGCAACTGCTTGCCCAGGAAGGATAACACTGTCTTCAGATATTTGGAGAGAACAGTCACATGCAGGAAAAGGCCTTATTTTATGTGCTAAAAAAACATTTCCAAGAGTTGAAAACAACTGAGATAACCCAATAGTTAATTAAATAAAACATATGTCATACATACATACTAGATAACTGCTCAGATATAGAGAAGACAAAACCCTGCCATTTTCAACAACATGAATCAATCCAGACAGTATAGACTTAGTGAAAATAGTCAGGGAGATAGTTCAAAGGGCTGGAGTACATGCTTGGTTGTTAGAGCCCCAGCTTCAATCCCCACCATTGTGTGCTTCCCACCCACCTCCCCCCTTCCCGGCCTGCAAACACCACCAGAAGCAATCCCTAACACCACGCCAATAGCAGCAGCTGAGCACTACTGGGTGTGACCAAAATAGAAATACAAATACCGTATGATTTTACTCCAATGCAACATAGAGAGAAATGTATTGCATTCAAACAAACAAATGAACTAAATCAAACAAAAATAAACTCTTAGACTACAAGACCAATTAGTGGACATTAGGAGCTAATGGGGGGGGGGGTGAGAGATAGAACAGCAGGTTGAGCACCCATTTGCAGAGGGACAATCCGGGTTCAATCCCTGGTACTCCATGTGGTCCCCTGACTAGTACCAGGAGTGATCTCTGAGAACAGAGACAGGCATAAGCCCTGAGAAAAAGAAAGATAAAGGGAGTTTGGGTAAATGGGATGAAAGTTATAGGTAAAAGATAAAATTCTACTTTCAATAGTAAGCTCAAAATAGCATATAGAGACATGCATTCAATTAATAATGTACATATGAACCATGTAAGGGCTGGAGCTGTAGCACAGCGGTAGGGCATTTGCCTTGGGCATGGCCAACCCGACTAAGCCAGGTTCAATTTCTCCACCCCTCTTGGAGAGACCTGCAAGCTATTGAGAGTATCCTGCCCACACGGTAAAGCCTGGCAAACTCCCCGTGACATATTAGATATTACAAACACAGTAACAAGTCTCACAATTATATACTGTCTGTATTGATTCATGTTGTTGAAAATGGCAGGGTTTTGTCTTCTCTATATCTGAGCAGTTATCTTGGAGACGTTACTGGGCCCGCTCGAGCAAATCGATGAGCAGCGGGAGGACAGTGAAAGTGACAGTGAATGCAATACTATTTTATAATGTAAAAGACTAGGAAAACTAAAGCCATTCAAGAAGTTCTCTGCTGTAGCCAGGATTTGATTCCACTGAAGAGATTATTCAGTGCATAGGATGAGGTATTCAGCTCCCAGAGGTGGTGAGCTTAAGCACTGTGGGCATTTAAGATTGTAGAATTCATCTACAACTGTACCTCATGGTGTTTCACTAATAAAAAAATTTAAAAATTTTTAAAAAAAGATTGTAGAATCTGTGCCTACTGGCAGCCCTGCTCTCAAGTTCTGAGTAACACAGGAAAACAGTCTTTTCCGATGCCCTTGAATAGCACTTCTTATAAAGTGACTTAGGCACACTGATCTGTGTTATCATATATTTGCTTCAGCCCAACTTCCACTCCTCAGCCTTGGAGAACCCAACCCCATAGAAATCCTTCTTGTGTGCCCTGGAGCACTCTCTCTGCTTCCAGGTGGAGGCTTCTCTCTTACTCCTGAGGCATCAAAGCCATCTGAAAAATTAGTGCCTAACCATGCTCACCCCAGAAATAAGAAAGAAATAAAGGCATTGTGGCATTCACAGTATCAATGTCTCTTAAGGAAATCCCTTGATGAATTCAAAGTTGAAATAGGCACTCTGATTCTTTCCCTTTTCCCCTCTCTTGCTACTTGGTGACTCTGTCCTGAGATTTAAGCATTAAATAGTCCCAAAGGATACCCTGTTTTAATTTTTTTTGTGACTGTTGCAACAAATTACAACAAACTTGGTGGCTTAAAATAGCATACATTTATTATTATCTTACATATCTATGGCCCCCAAATGTGCTGTCTATTACGAAAAGTGTCAAGAGAGACTGTGCTCCCTCTAGAGGCCTGAGTGTTAGGGGGTCCCCTCTTTAGGTCGTCTGTTGAATGCCAAGAGTCCTGGAAATGTGACCATGTCACTCAATCTCTCTACTTATAATTACACTGCCTTTCCCCTTCTGTGTGTCAAATCTTCCCTTCTTCTAAAGACAAATAGATTTCAGGTCCACCTGGATCATCCCAGGAAGTCTCTGGATTACAAGAGCCTTCATCATATCTGTGACACTGTACCAAATATGTAGTGTGTGGCAGTTACACTACCACAATAATGATAGCAATATTTGCAGTAGTAATGCCCTGAGAGTTCCTACAGATTTTTGAAGGTTTAAACTTTTTTAAGAGCATTTTTAATCACTTAAAAATAGGTTAAGACACTGAGGAAATAGATACAATCTATTTCAGTGGAATTTTACACTTAGTTGAGAGATTCATTTACTGTCTACAAAACATATCTAGCATGGTAACAATTTTTCAGTAGAATACCTGCTAATATATTTAAATTAGAACAAAAAGGTTTTCCCACAGTAAATGGATGAAAACTCACTCTACTCTAAAAAAGTGAAATTAGTTAACATTTTCAATTTTCTTACAGATGAAAGTATTATTTGTATCAGTAGTAAGACCTGTTAGAAATAGCTTTTTATGTGCTGCAACAAATTACATTTCTTTAAACAGAAACATCCTGGCTATGTCAGTAACATGGTCCTGTGGATGAATCGCAGAATCAGATAACACCATCTCCAAGTTCAGTCAGTAGAATTGTGGCTGCTGAGAGGGGCCTGGGCAATGAGGTTGGGTTTTTCTATTGCACCTTTCAGAGGTCTTTGCAGGTGACTATTACACAATGGAAGAGTAACTTCATTGGTATCTTTGTTTCAGAGAAGTATAAGACTTTTAGGTTCACAGATAAACCTCATAAAAGCAAATAGCCAACAATATTGAACATAATGACAATACAAGCGAGTCTCTCTATTTAAAAAATATAAAAATAATTAGAAACCTCTAATACCTTCACTTCTCTACTCAACTACAATGAGGCAAATTCAATATTTTGGAGATGGAAGTTGCTTTTTCCAGGTACATCCGATAATCATCATTTCAAAAATTATAAGACATACCTTTGTAAAACTATAATCTGAATGAAAATTTTATTTAACACTACAGTAAAATAAGTCCACATATGGCACTGCCATGCTACTTATACACCTGTACACATAAACAAAAAACAAACACTGTCCTCCCGTTGTTCATCGATTTGCTCAAGCGGGCCCAGTAACGTCTCCTCTTCTCTTTGAGACTTGTTGTTACTGTGTTTGGCATATCGAATACATCACGGGTAGCTTGTCAGGCTTTGCCACGCAGGTGAGATACTCTCGTAGCTTACTGGGCTCTCTGAGAAGGGCAGAGGAATCGAACCTGGCTCGGCCGGGCTGGCTGTGTGCAAGGCAAACGCCCTACCGCTGTGCTATCGCTCCAGCATATGTCATTTAATTGAATAACTCACATCTGACCATTTTTCCAGTGTGAAGTCTGTTGAACTTAGTAGAAATTTTAACTGCAAATCTCCAAAATCTAGATTGCTCCATCTTTTAGTTGCCATGTGCTATAAATATTTTATGATCTCTCTTTATTAGACATACACAATCTGCATAAAATATGACAGAATAGTTTTTCAAGAAACAGAATGACTTCCCATTTTTCATTCTCTCTCAATATAACAATAAGGAACAATTTCTTGGGCAGCACAAGAGAAATCAAGAGAAGAATCCACATACTTCTGGAGGACTCTAGTCACAGGAATTCAAGAACAAAATTTTGCTAAGAGTTTTTCAACTTCTCTTTATAGAATCATCATTTACTCGCCCTAAAATCTTTAGCTCTTTTCTCAAAGCAGTCTCCTAAATGATGATGAAGAGTGAAATAATTGCATTGAATCAATGAATGAATGAACTAAAATGATAAACATTCCTGAAACACTGCAAAAGAGCATATGGAAAACTGGAAAGAACAATAACTTAAAACCAGGAGACCTAGCTTCTGCTTTCCTGTGGTCTCCCTATTTGACCTTAAGAGGGCAAGTTCCTTACATGCTAATTAGAGATAGAGAAAATGTTAAGTTGGGTGTTTTTATAGGTAATATCTATGCCACAGATTCAGTTTGTTGAGATTAGAAAACACCTGGACTCTTATTCTCTTATCCCACCCTCAATCATCCTCTGGTGTTACAAAAGATACCCCAACCTGTACAACAAAGTACATGCTGTTGTTGACCATGAAGTACTGAAATTGTCAATAAAGGTGCATTCTAGACAAGAACTCTAACCATGCTCCTCTAATCAGCCAGCAAGGAAAAAGACTGCTGCTGACTCAATAATGCCAAAACCTTTATCCAAACTGACTTCTAACCTCAAATTCTGCTCTCTATACTTTCATAACATACATACATTACTAAAGACCTTCATTCATGGGGCCTGAGTGCTTACTTTGGACATGAATGGCCAACCTGGGTTCGATCCCCAGCATCTCATATGGTCTCCACCCCCCTCCCCCGCCCGAGGTCTGCCAGGAGTGATCCTTGAGCTTAAAACCAGGTGAGCACCCCCAAGTGTGGCCTGAAAGCCAACATTTAAAAAAAATTTAAATACCTTTATTCAGTATCTATTCAGGTATAAACCATTCTAAAAATCCCTATAAATTTATTTCTCAGCATACAGCAGGTATTTTCTACTGAACAAACTGAATAGATGATGTCTGGGGCCATGCAATTGTTTTTTACAAGGAGCAATAGAATAAAGTTTTCAGACTTTGTAGGCCACAACTGCTCCACGTTATAATGTAAAAGCTGCAAACAATACATAAACAAATGATGGGTGTAACTGTGTTACAATAAAACTTTATTACAAAGACAGGTCAGATTCAGCCTGCGGGTCTTGTTTAACCAAATCTTTTCCCACATCAACTTTAAGGCATCTCTTAATGTCAAAAACATTATCCTTAACACTTCCTTTTAGAGGCAGGGTGCTCTTGATTAACACATCTGTTGGGGCACTCTGCCCCCTCTTCCTCTGTTGTCCTCTGATAAACATCAACTGGTAGAGAAGACGTGGAGACTTCTCTTTCAACTGCAGTTATTCTGAAAGATAAAGCAGGGCAGAGATTAAAACAAGACCCTATGTCTTTGCACCATGCACAGCAGATCAAGTGCCCCTCTTCAAATTGTACTGAGTTCGCTGTATACCTAATAAAGAAAATAGAACTATTCTTTCACTTAATAGTCTTTTAGTAAGGGTATGGGGGGGGCAGGTTTACTAAAAGCCCTTATAAAGTGCCAGCTGAAAGGAAATAATGGTCCTTGGCACCACAGAATCTTTTTCATGTGAAGCTACATGACCACTCTTCATTTTGTTTCTCAAGCACCCCATGGCACCTATCCATGTATTAGTCTAATAACTGCACAAATCTAGTTAAAAAGAACCAAGCAATTATTTTAATTAGAAGAGAACAAAAATAACACTCCTGGATTCTGTTTTAAGGGGAAAGAAGGAAGTAGTCAGAATTCAAAAAGATCCCACAAAATATTTTTGTGAAAGGAAAAATAATTAAGACCAAATTTAGAAGGTACTTGCAATAAACGCGCCAAATAAAATGAATGGCACCACTGTGCTACTAAACCCCATTCATATCTAAGAGCCCCAGAAAGTCCATTTTTATGTGATACCATTTTGAGAGGACAGCCAATTTTACAAAGTAAAAGTGAATGTCTAGTAGACTTTAATGAACCTGTGAATCTCTTACACAATTTCTGATAGCGTCTCTGAGTAAACTCTTTTATTAAAAAGAGAAAGAGGGACGGATATTGGGCAAATTGCCTGCCAAGTAGGATTATTTCTTTATTTGAATTCTTAGAGTAAATTGTTCAAATTTGTTTTTCTGGGGGGAAAAATCGATCTTTAAAGAAAATCCTTGTTACTAATTCATTCTGTAAAAAAAAACAGAATCTGCCATAAGAGAATTTTAGTTATGTGAACTGAATTCATTCATAGACCAGAAGAGTAGATTGCAACTTTTTCCATAGCTTTTGTCTTCCTACCTTTTTCTAACCAAGATATTTTGGACATTTTATTTATTTTATTCTCAGACTTCCAAAAAAGAGATGAAATAAAACCCACCTAATCACTATTGCTCCTTTTGCTTTCCTTTCTGAGTGTTCATTATCATGTGCATCCCTTAGCATGCAGCAAATTATAGATGTGCATAGTTAAATAGGACCTGGGTTGGGTCTGTAGAGAGTTCACCTTCTAACCAACCATGAAGGAGACAAAAAGTCAGCTCAGCTGGGTGGGGTCAGGTACTTGACCCCATTTGAGAAAGACATAAACGTTTTGTCCCAGGAAGAGAGATCAACATAGACAGAAGCCAGGACGTGAAGAACCAACCCCAGAATTTGGTGGGAACTGCACACAGATGGAGCTCTTGGAAGGCAAAGTCAAAGACCAATACAGGGAAAGAAAGCAGACTGGAAATGGAAGCAAGAGGCAGGTTATAGGAGAACTTAAGTACCATGCTCACAAGGCCTTTACCTTGTCAAAGTTGTAGAATGCTCAAATTGTTTCCGCCAAAGGACTAACATGGCCAGTTTTCCATTTTAGAGTGAGCACAAGAATGACTGAGCAGAGAACTATAAGGTTGTCTAGGTGTCCCATAAATGCCAAAGGACTGGCAAGAGGTGACAAGGCCTTGAACTAGGACAACAGCAAGTAGGAATGGAATGTGGTATGAAATTAAAGATTTTCATATCACCCATAAAGGTCCTGCACAAAAATGGTATTAGAAACAGCATCTAAGATCTAGGATGGGGTGCCACATCCACTGGTGTTCTGAAACCCATGTAGTACTTCATTTGTGGAGTATAGAATAACATAACATGAGGCTGACACCCAAGGGCAGTATACACAAGGGTCAGGAGGATTGCTCCATAGCTGGAAGCCTGCCTCATGAGTTGAGGGGAAAAGGCAGCTGGAATAGAGAAGGGATCACTAAGAAAATGATGGCTGGAGGAATCGTCAGGATGGAAGATGTGTGCTGAAAATAGATAATGGACCAAACATGATGACCTCTCAGTGTAAGTATTGCAAATCATAATGCCCAAAAGTAGAGAGAGAGTATGGGGAATATCACCTGCCATGGAGGCAGGGGGAAGGTAGGGAAGAAGGGTATACTGGGGAGACTGGTGGTGGGGAATGTGCACTGGTGGAAGGATGGCTGTTTGGTCATTGTGTGATTGGAACCCAAACATGAAATCTTGTAACTATCTCATGGTGATTCAATAAAATAAAAAAAGAAAAGAATAAAAAGAAAGAAAATCATGTAGTTCTGAAGAGCAAAACATGTGCCCCAGTCTTTTGCATCATCTCCCTGGCCTCATAATATATTCTTAGGTTGGGGGGCCAGAGGAGGGACATACCCAGTAATTCTCAGAGGCTATTTCTAGAGCATTGAACATAGAACCTTCAAACTGGGGTTACCACATGTAAAGCTTGGGCTCCATCCCTTTGAGCTATCTCCCCAATTCAACATTTTTGACTCTTTCTTTTTTTTTTAATACATGTTATTTTATTTATTTTTTTTATTAGTGAAACATCATGAGGTACATTTATAGACTTACACATTTTTGTGCTTGGGTTTCAGTTATACAATGATCTTTACATCTTATTTTGTTTTCAAAGTCACATCTCACAGTGCTCAGGGCTGCTGCCAGTTCAATGCTCAGGGCCCATGTGGAGCCAGAAATCAAATCAGAGACTCCATCATGCAAAACATGTGCTCCAGCCCTTTAAGCTATCGCCCTAGGCTTTGAAACTTTTTTTTAAAAAACTCTAAACAGTGACCTAAGGGGTCAAAATTAGGATATAAAAGTGACTCTGAAGTTTCTCACTGTCATCAGAAACTTTTCCTGAATGTTTCTCATAAGTCCAAAAACCTTTCCAATTTATAGGTTATCTTTTTTGTTTGCTTGTTTGTTTTAATTTTTTTATTTTTTTATTAGTGAAACACCATGAGGTACAGTTATAGACTTACAAATATTTGTGCTTGGGTTTCAGTTATACAATGATCAAGTACCCATCCCTCCACCAGTGCCCATCCTCCACCACCACGGGTCCTAGCATCACTCCCACCCCCCGTCCCCCCATCCCACCCTGCCTCTGTGGCAGGGCATTCCCTTTTGTTCTCTCTCTCTCCTTTTGGGTCCTGTGGTTTGCAAGAGAGGCATTGAGTGGCAATCATGTTTGGTCTATAGTCTATAGGTTATCTTTTAAACCCAAAGGAAATTGATCATGGGCCATGGGATTGAAATGTAGAAACACACTTCAGCCTTGAAGACCTGAGTAAAATGCTGAGACTTGTATGGAAACTTGTGATACAAGAAAAGAGGGTTCCCAGCAAGGTGGCCGCCGCCTCAGAGCTTATTGGAAAGCCAGGTATGAGCCAGTGGTGAGGGGGCAACTGCAGTCTCATGGGAAGGGGGGCAATACTGGCTTGTCCTTCGCGCCCTACCAAAGTCACGAGTTGCCCCCCACAAGCGGCTCTCCGGCACGGCCATGACTCAAGAGGCAAAGGACCTAGTCCGGAGCCCGGCAGCTTGTGGCAGAAAAATGAATGGACCATGCATTAAACTACGGCACCATGCCTCCCTAGGAGGGAAAGGGTGTTGCTCCCTTCTGCCTTCCCCCACCCCCCAGCAGCAAGGAGGCTGCCGCCTCAGAGCTTATTGGAAAGCCAGGTATGAGCCCGCGGTGAAGGGGCAACTGCAGTCTCATGGGAAGGGGGCGGTACCAGCTTCTCCTTCACATCTTACTGAGGTCATGAGTTGCGCCCCACAAGTAGCTCTCCAGCACAGCCATAACACCAGACACACAGGAACCAATCTCGTAATTATCTGGCTCTTTGCAGAAATCCAAAATTGCGTGGCTGCTATCACGGCCACACAACATTATATAATTCTCATAATCAGCTATAGAAAACAAAGTATTTCACAATGCCTTTTCAGCAATTCTGATTGTTGGGGAGGGGAATTCTAAACAATAATGGTGCATCTTTTGTCTAAATAATGAATGGAATCAATGTAGAGAAGAGTTAAGTAGAAATCATCTGCCTCACAGGTATTGGGAGGGTTGGGAGGGGGGTATATTAGGGTTCTTGGTGGTGAAAAATGAGTACTTGTGAGGGGAAAGGTGTTTGATCATTGTATAACCGAGACAAACCTGAAAGCTTTGTAACTTTTCCCACAGCGATTCAATAAATAAATATAAGAAGAAAAATAAATAAATAAAATTATGGGGAAAAAAAAAGTAAGGTGGAGTTCATGCTCAATTCAATCAGCTAATCAGTGGCTGAATAAATAGCAGTACTCCTACATAAAAAAAAAAGAAAAAAGAAAAGAGGGTTCTGTGTAGAGTTAAAGTTGGGACCCCTGGTTATTTGGGTTCACATCCCCACTTCAAAAGGAATTCAGAAGGAGGTTCTGTTGTTTTTTTTTTCTTTTTAAGTAGCATATTTAGGGAGAAAAAAGAAGGAAGGAAAAAAGGAATGCTATAAGGAAGAATGAAGAGCAGTTTCATTTTAGCTATCTTTAAGTTGAGGAGAAAGAGAAAAAGAAAGAGAAAGAGAGAATCATCTGCAATGAGCAGGCTTGTTTTAACAGAGACAAACTTTAAACCAAAATGAGAACCAATGGTGAGAGAGGCTGGTCCCCAGGCACAAAAATTTTGGTTCCGTGTGTCTCATCAGGCTTCGTCTGGAAAAAAAAAAAAGAAAGAAAGAAAGAGGGGCAAAAAAAAAGTTTGGTCCTATGGTTTGGGTTTTAAGATCTCCTGGGTGGTATCTGAATTCATCAATCCAAATATCTTTTTTTTTCTTTTTTTATTAGTGAAAAACCATGAGGTACAGTTATAGGCTTACAAATTTTGTGCTTGGGTTTCAGTTATACAATGATCAAGTGCCCATCCCTCCACCAGTGCCCGTCATCCATCCCCACGGGTCCCAGCATCCCCCCCCAACCCTCATTCCCCCCCCCTCCCATCCTGCCTCTGTGGCAGGGTATTCCCCCTTGTTCTCTCTCTCTTCTTTTGGGTACTGTGTTTTGCAAGAGAGGCATTGAGTGGCAATCATGTTTGGTCTATAGACTACTTTCAGCGTGATTCTCCCACCCTGGGAGGGTCCTCACAACACCCTTTATTTGGTGCTCTCTTCTCTATCTGAGCTTCCTTTTCACCTAGAGCCTGTGGCTGGCCTTCCATTCATGGAGCAAAATTCCTGGTACTAATCTCAGCCATTCCTGGGTGTTACTCTCCCTTTTTGTTGCTTTATGTTCCCCAGATGAATGCAATCTTTCTGTGTCTATCCCGCTCTTTCTGACTCATTTCGCTTAACATGATACTTTCCATGTAGTACCACTTGTATGTAAATTTCATGACTTCATCTTTTCTAACAGCTACATAGTACTCCATTGTGTAAATGTACCAAAGTTTCTTTAACCAGTCATCTGTTCTTGGGCACTCAGGTTTTTTCCAGATTCTGGCTATTGTAAAGAGTGCTGCAATGAACAAACAATTGCAGATGTCACTTCGACTATACCTTTTTGCCTCTCTGGGATATATTCCCAGGAGTGTTATAGCTGGGTCAAATGGCAGATCAAATTCTAATTTTTTGAGAGTCGTCCATACTGTTTTCCAAAAGGGTTGGACCAGCCGGCATTCCCACCAGCAGTGAAGGAGGGTCCCTTTCTCGCCGCATCCGCGCCAGCACCGATTGCTTTTGTTCTTGTGCAAGCCTATCTTAAGTCAATAGAAACGATGCACATAAACAATTTGACCTCACAGCTCAAGACGTTAGAAAAGGATCAACAGAAAGAGCCTAAATCAGGCAGAAGGAAAGAGATCATAAAACTTAGAGCAGAAATCAACATGGAAAACAAAGAAACAATCCGAAAGATCAATGAAACCAAGAGCTGGTTCTTCGAGAAAATAAATAAGATAGATAAACCACTAGCAACACTCACAAAGAAACAGAGAGAGAGAACCCTAATAAATCGAATCAGAAATAAGAATGGGGATATCACAACAGAAACTAAAGAAATTCAAGAGATCATCAGAGACTACTTTGAAAGTCTCTATGCCACGAAACACGAGAACCTGGAAGAAATGGATAAATTCCTGGATTCCTACCATCTCCCAAAGCTGAATCAAGAAGATATAGAGTACCTGAATAGACCTATTCACATCAAGGAAATTGAAACTGTAATCAAAAGTCTTCCCAAAAACAAAAGCCCAGGACCAGACGGATTTACTAGCGAATTTTTCCAAACATTTAAAGAGGACCTATTGCCAATTCTTCTCAAGCTTTTCCAGGAAATTGAAAAAACAGAAACTCTCCCAAACAGCTTCTATGAAGCCCATATCTCTCTAATACCAAAAGGAAACAAAGACACCACAAGAAAAGAAAACTACAGGCCAATATCCCTGATGAACACGGATGCGAAGATTCTCAACAAAATACTAGCCAATAGAATACAACAACTCATCAAAAAGATCATACATCATGACCAAGTGGGATTCATCCCAGGGATGCAAGGATGGTTCAACATTCGGAAGTCAATCAACATAATCCATCATATCAACAAAAGAAAAGATAAAAATCATATGATCATATCAATAGACGCAGAGAAAGCTTTTGACAAGATCCAGCACCCATTCATGATGAAAACTCTTGCCAAAATGGGGATAGAGGGGACTTTCCTCAATATAGTTAAAGCCATCTACCACAAACCTACAGCAAACATCATCCTCAATGGGGAAAAACTGAGACCCTTCCCCCTAAGGTCAGGGACGAGACAAGGATGCCCACTCTCTCCACTACTGTTCAATATAGTACTGGAAGTACTTGCAATAGCGATTAGTCATCAATCCAAATATCTTGTTAGACATGAGAAGCTACTGGAGAGTACATGCTTCATTCAAGATGATGCCCATGGCCCCACATGGGGGCTGAGTTTGCATACAGAACACTGACCCAGCTTAGCTCTGCCTGCCTCTTTTCTAGAAGACTATGAAATTTCTGCTTACTTTCTCATATAAAATCAGTCTCCTGCCTTCAGTCAACTTAAAATCATCAGAAAACTTGGAGAAAACAAATTTGCAATAAATACTTACTGTGATAGTTACTTTTGTGTGCAACTTGACTGGACTAATGGAAGTCCAGGTGGCTTATGGAACACTATCTCTGGCTGTGTCTGGGATGAAGCTCATGGGAGAGATTGGTGTTTGAATCATCTCACCAGTAATAGTAGAAATCATCGCACCAATGCTAGTGGGCTTCAACCAATCCATTGAGGGCCTGGTGGAATAAAAGGGGAGAGCGGGTTAAGTGTTTGCTTTCTGCCTGAGCTGGGACATCCATCTTCTCCTGCCAGGGGACATCATAGTTCTTGGTTTCAAAGCCTCAGCCTCTAACCCAGATTTATACCACTGGCCCCTCTCCTCAGACCTTTGGGCTTGGACTAAATTACACCGCCAGCTTTTCAGTTCTTCAGACAGCTTATCATTATGGGACTTCTCAGCCTCCACAACTACAGGAACCAACTCCTACAATAAAGCTCCTCATATGGAGCTAAACAATTCTTTTGTTTCTGCCTCTTAGCAGACCCTGACTAAGGACCAACTACAAATTTCATTTTCCTTTTTTTTTAAATTGAACCACTGTAAATTACAAAGTTACAAAGTTACTCATGATTTTTAATTACTATATTAAATTTCTACAGAATGTTTTATATTCTACATAATGTAGAGAACACACCTTAAAACTCATTTTATGAGCCAGCTAAACTTTGATAACACACCTGATTAGAAAATTATAACTAAAAAAAAGCCGCAGGTAAATTTCATACCTGAATACTACTGAACATTTTATTTTTTTAATTCCACTTATAGGCATAAATAAAATAAGCAATACATTGGAATCAAATTAGGTGTAGTCTAGGAATATAGGATTGGTTTAATATTTAAGAGCACCATCATGGGACCAGGAGTCAGCTCAGTGGAAGAGAACCTGCATGAAATTCTGAGTTCAATCCTCATCAGCAACCCCTCAGAAAAACATTCACACTAACAGAATAATATGATCTTAACATTACATACGGTCATGGTCACGGTCCTCCCATTGTTCATCGATTTGCTCGAGCGGGTCCAGTAACGTCTCCATCATGAGATTTGTTGTTACTGTGTTTGGCATATCGAATATGTCACGGGTAGCTTGCCAGGCTCTGCCGTGCAGGCGAGATACTCTCGGTAGCTTGCCGGGCTCTCCAAGAGGGGCAGAGGAATCGAACTTGGGTCGGCCATGTTGGCTGCTTGTAAGGCAAACGCCCTACCGTTGAGCTATCATTCCAGCCCAACACTACATAAAGTAAGTTTTTTTTTAATTAGTGGAAGTGGCTCTTCCATTAGCAGACAATAAGGGATATTATGGAAAGACTAATTTGATCTCAACCTCAAGCTTTATACAAAAATCAATGGCATGTTGATTAAAGATCTACATGTGTAAATTGACAATAAAAACTTCTAAGCAGATGGTATAAGAGGATATTCTAATTGCTTTAGAGTAAACATCATTCTCTTCAACAGAACACAGAGATAACTGACTATAAAAATAAAATTTTGTGACTAGAGAGATAATACAACAAGTAGATACTTGCCTTGCATGTGACCAACCTGGGTTCAATTCCCAGTACCACATATAGTCCCCTGTGCACTGTCAGGAGTGATCCCTGAGCACAGAGTCAGAAGTAATTCCTGAGCATCACCATATGTGGCTCGTAAACAAAATATAGTAATAATAAAATAAAACATTGGTAAAATAAAACATTGGTAATTTAAGCTATATTAAAATTAAAACCTTTGGTTCATTAAAAAAAAAACACACATACAGGGATATGGTGCCACCAACAGGTCAAGCTGTATCTGCATCTTCAGGGCAAGTGCATCAGTACCCTGGTTGATGGTGCCTTCAGGCTTTCTGATACCTCAAAATTGCTGCTGTGTCTCTGGCCAGACCCCAAAAACATGGGACCAAGTTTCCTGAGAAGTTAAACAGCCAAGAGTTAGTTATGTGGGAGTCACTCCCACAAACCACCTCCAGCTCAGCTATACAAGCTCATGTATCAGCCATGCTGGAGACCCATAAATAAATCTTGTAAGAGATCAAAACCCACAGTTAATCTCGGACCTGCACAAGACTGAACAGACCAGGGTAAATCAGAGGGGGGTGGGTCAGCCTGGTGCCTGCCCAAGTAGAGCCCCCAGCAGAGAGGCTTGCTCCCACAATCCAAAATTGCTGCCATACTCTCGGCCTGACTCCACCATCTCAGGGCAGACCTCACTGAGACATACTCTGCTGAAAATTCTGGGTTTTGTGACTTAAATCTCCACGCTTTCTTGGAGTTGGGATGGGTTACCTTTCCCCACTTCCCAATACCCCTGACAGCACTGGCAGTTACCCCCACGAACCAACTTCGTGCCACCATGTAAACTCTTCTACCAGCCTACCTTCAGAAACCCATAAATAAGTCTCAAAAGAGATCAAAAGCATCTGTTAATCTCAGACATGTGCAAGGTTGAATAGACTGAGGTAAATCAGAGGGAAGAGGGTTAGCATGGTATCAGCCCAAGCAGAGCCTCTGGCAGCCACTTACTTCACAATCCAAAAGCACCGCCATGTTCTTGGTCTGACTCCATCATCTCAAGACGGACCTCATCAAGATAAAATATGGGTATGCGAATTTTGTGACTGAAAGTTCCAGGCTTTCTCAGGGTCGGGATAAGCTATCTCCCCTCACCTCCTTGTACTTCCAGAAGCCACGGTAACCACGTCCACACCCCAAAACTGCACCCACTTAAAAAGCTACTCCAGCCTTACTTTCCTGGTAAAAATACTGAATGCCCTGAACAAACACCATGACCTCTTAGTAAAAAAAAAAATAGAGTGAAAAGTGAAGATCAGAGTAATAGATCATTTATATAAGAATATATTTAACAATAATAGTAACATTTAGTATAATAACATTTAGTAACATTTAGTCACAATAATAGTAACATTTATATAACAATAGATCTTTTTGTAACATTTGTAATATACATATTTCAATAAAAATTATATATCAAGAGTATATTAATATCTCACACTAACCAGAAAAGATAAATATGGGGCTGGAGCAGTAGTACAGCGGGGAGGTGTTTGCATTGCATAGGGCCAACCTGGCTTTGATCCCTGGCATCCAATAAAGTTCCCGAGCATGGGCAGGAGTAATTCCTGAGTGCAGAGCTAGAAATAGCCCCTGAGCAATGACGGGTGTGACCTGAAAAAAAAGCAAAAAAAAAAAATCTCATTCTGGGGACTGGAGCAATAGTACAGCAGGTAGGGCGTTTGCATGCAACCAACCTGGGTTCAATCCCCAGAATCCCATATGGTCCCCCAAGTTCTGCCAGGAATAACTCCTGAGTGCAGAGACAGGAGTAACCCAGGCATGAAATCCTGCCATTAACAGTATTACAAACCACCATGCCTAAAATAAAACCTGAGAGAGAATAACAATTTCCCCCTTAGTCTATACCCAGCAGATATACATGTGCACACACGCGCACACACAGAGATGTGCCCCCCCAAAAGTTTACAGTTGCATACTCTAAAATAACCTAATACTGAAAACTCAAATCAAGCCAATTTAGGGTAAAATGGGCCAACTGTGTTATGTATTGTTGATAAACTGAAAGAGAATACAAGAAAAATTAGAACACCTAGTCATATAGACATATCTCACAAAGTTAACGTTCAGAGAATAAAATCAGACATGAAAGAATAGTTGCTGTAGGAAGGAAATGGGAGGGGAGGAGAAGGGAGGGGAGGGGAGGAGAGGGAAGAGGAAGAGAGGGAAGAGGAGATGGGAGGGGAGGGTGACAGGGGAGTGGAGAAGAGGGAAGTAAAGAGAAGAAAAGGAGAAAGGAGGGGAAGAGGGGGAAAATAGGGAGGAGGGGGGGAAGGAATGGGTAGGCAAGGGAGAGGAAGGAAGGGGACACTAATATCAGAAACCAAGTTATGTTAAGGAAGAAGCAGAAATTCCCAGCACAGCATCTGTCAGGGAAGTTAGCTATATTCTCTTGCTTGCCCAAAGGTGGGGTATGGAGTTTAGAGGATTTGTTGGCTTCGGGATAAGTTCTTCCCAATCATCCTTATGAGGATTCAAACAAAATTTCAAAGCTTGACTTCTTTTATCTTGGGTAAACAGAGAAACTACCAGAATAGTAGTTTGTGTGTTAAATGCAGTTTGTGTGTTAAAAAAAATCAATGTGTTCAATTTTTGCTTTCCTGATGTCACCAGGCAGAAAGTAGGAGGAATCACAGATATGACAATAAGTCAGCTCACCTAGAAGAGAGGAAAAATTAATCTAACTGAGATTATTCAGTTAAGCCTTTTCAGTTTTGTAAGAGGTGAGTAATGCATGAGGAGAAAAAAGTTAAAGGACTAATGTATAAAATTATGACAATAATGGCAATAATTAGGGACCCACTGTGGGCTCATACATTTCTAGCCTTATTCTATAAAGAAAGATTAAAAGGTAACAAATTTCAGCTAGCTACATGGGAATGCTTTCTTATGAAATGTATAATTAACCTGTAGCCAATGCTTTAGTAAAACCCAACTCCTCCCCAAAAATAAAAGATTAGCTATTTATAGCAGCGGCCACTCTGACTAATACCGCATCACAAAGACGCCCCTGCTCCCAAGCAAAATCTGTGAGGCAGGAGGTTAGGAGATGCTCTTCCCTTCCATGCTGTGTTTCACTGCTCTGTTATCTAACTCTGACCCTTCGCAGAGGCTGCTAGTTGTTGTATCTCCCATTAGTGGCCTCAGCTCTGAGATCAGGATACAGCAGGGATTCAAATAAGCCATTGTTTTCATTCCCCGATGGGGACACCTGTAGGCCTGTATTTAGGTAACACCTTGTGTTTTCAAAAAGTAAACATGAAACACATAATCAAATTGTTCCTCACATTACTGGGGTTTTTATCAACAGTCTATAAATATATAGAAAAATTCAATATACATGTGAAATAAGTAGTGCAGGTAGACAGGCAATTCAAAGACACCTCTAATTTGGCAGCCTGCATTTCAATTGTTGCCTTTTTAGGCCTGAAAAATACAGACACTATTCATTCAAGTGATTGTCCTGAGCACTTGTATACCTTATGAAATTTTTTTAGGGATTTTCACTTCCAAAAAATCAGTAGCTAATAACATATCAGACTTCAAAACTTTTTTTCTGATAGCACACTGGAATTCC